TCATTTTTTCTTTGTCCCTTCTCACAAAATTCTTCAAAGCTTTAAAAAGCCTCTTTTGTAAATCCCATATAAAGAAAATTATCCAGGTACACACTCTGGGTTTGTTATATGTATATCCCTTTTAATTATTAAGACATCAGCTGGTTTCTTTTGTATGTCCAGTGAACCCATCTTTTTTCCATGTCATTCTTGCAGCCTGTCATTTTTAAATTCACTTTCAAATCAGTCTCAATCTTGCCAGGTAAAACTTGTTCCTCTTCCATAACATCTTTTAAACACAGAGGTACTATAGAGGTAGACACTCTTAAAATTAACTTCTCGGTCCATTGCTTCAATATGTCCAGTGTTAAAATATTTTGCTTCATTCTATATTTTTAAGTCAAATTTAAGCGTTCTTCTCCTTTAATTGTAATATTTAGTTCCCTCTAGTGTCCAATTTTTAAAGTCTTATCTTTTTTTTTTTTTAAGAATTCAAAATAAAAGCATTTTCCCACAGGAAAGATTCTTATAATTAATTCCAAAATCTTATTTCAAATTTATCTGGACCCCTAGTCCATTTGTAACTTTCTAAAACCAAAGTTTTAATCACTCTTTTGCTGTTTATTAAAAAAAAATTTTTTTTTAAGTCTTTAAACTTGTATTTAAAACTTTTTTTGCTAAGGATTGAAGGAAACTCACCTGGTGTTGTAAAACTTGTCAATCCAAAGGTTCCTAATAGCATTTAAAACTTTTTTTGCTAAGGATTGAAGGAAACTCACCTGGTGTTGTAAAACTTGTCAATCCAAAGGTTCCTAATAGCATTTAAAACTTTTTTTGCTAAGGATTGAAGGAAACTCACCTGGTGTTGTAAAACTTGTCAATCCAAAGGTTCCTAATAGCTGAAAAGCAGTTAACAAGCAATTTCCAAAAGTAATTAGAAAAGGAAGTATGCAAACCCAGTGTCCTTTTGAAGGCACTGACTGTGATTTGGGCAAGGTGGTTATTCCCTCATCTCTCAAAGCTCTAAAACCCGCCTGAGATCTCTGTCTTGGAATCTCCTTGCAAGAAGCAACTGTCTGGAGCACTGGAGGATGATCTCAAGTCCTCTCCTTGTCTGGAGAAGAATTACAAAGAGTTGGTCTACTTGTCGGTTCTTAATTCCACTGTAGTCATCGGCTCTGCTTTTTGTGTAGCCTTCTTCAGTCTGCCATTTCTTCCCCAGAAGTCCTAAATTCTCATCTTTCTCTTTTTGAGGAGCTCATCAACTCCATCCAAACATGATGGAGGTTTTTCAGGCTAATTCTTTGTATATGACTAAACCAACTGAATGTACTTTTTTTTTCATACCAGTCACTCACTTTTGTATTCAATCCACATTTATTCATCACCCATTCATTCTTGATCTTATCTCTTCTTGTTTTATCACACATACTTCTGAAGTAATCTACCCCCACAGATTCAACTTACTTTTATGTTTTACTTGATGTACCCAACTCTCACTTCCATATACCAAAGTGGGCAAAAGTACACACTTCTTTCACCAAACATTACTGTACAGTTTCTGGGACCATTTCTGAGCTATCTGCATGATTGCTGTTGGTACAAAATGGGTTGTACTTCAAAGGAACTGGTAATAATCTGGCCAAATCATACTGAGCCTCAATCAGAATGGGAAACTAAATCCTGTGCATTGTTGAAGATAAAATCCTGAAATAACAACCAAGTAAATACTTATACACTATTTCAGGAAGTGGGACAGCTGCTTTAACGGGCCTATTAAACCATTCAATAAAAGATCAGGAAGAACATTATGAGGCAAAGTTTATGACACCTATTGTTTATATAGAGCACTGGAAATAAACAGGATGAGTTTCAACTCTTAATAAATGAATAAAAATATAATTTAAAAAATATAACAGTGGCCTGATAAGATTACTTCCATGACTGGAATACCGCAATTCAAGGATACAATTTGTTCAAAAGGAAAGAAACAGTTTAAAGGCAGAACTTGCAATGTTTGTTAAAGAAATGCATATCTATACAGTAGGATATTCAAGTGAATAGAGTCAGCAATATCATATATTTGAATTAAAATAAGTGGAAGAAAGTATAAAGTCAATACTGTTTTTGTTTACTATACTATCATCTGACCAGCCAAGGAAGAGACAATGGGATATTTCAAATATGAAAACACAGTTCTTCAGAGGCATAAATAAGTAATAAAGCCAGACTTTATTCTGACATCTGTTGGGAGGCAACCTTGCCAAGCATGGTGCTTCTAAGAAATTCCTAACTTGTCTTTTTGACAACTTTTTCCTTCAAAGAATGAAGCACGCACACGTACACAAACACAAATCAGCTGCTCTTGCTATGAACCAATATGGAAGATATAGTTGAGAAAGTTAAAGTACAGAAACAAGAATTGGGAGAAATGGTTATGTAATGTTGAACGTCAGGATTTTCAGGACAGCTAACATTATGCGTCACTGAATACATACCCTGAACTTCAAGAACTGGATTTTAATAGAACAGTGATAAGGAGGATTCTATAGCAAAAAAAATTACTGAAAATAAGGGAAAGCATATAGCATATTGCTTCTCGAATTTGTTCTAACCATTTTGCCACCAGTGACCATAGGAGGCACCTGTACTTTCTTTTTTCTGTAATGTAATG